TTGAGAGAGAGAGAGGGGTGGGGGATGTATTACTCCTGGCAGAAAGGATTTTTTTAATTTATTTTTTATTTTTTTGGTGAAGTGAAGCATATGTAACAATTAAGTCTTAAGTTTCCTGCTAAGGAAAAGTTTGGTTTTCTTAAAAACAAAACAAACAAAACAACCACAGCAAAATCCATTATGCTTTTTTCTTTTTCTAGACAGTGATCTTTAACATTGTTAATAATAGTTAGGCAATAATTAATTGTACCTTTTCTTATATCAAATGTTCATTTTGAGAAAAGAGAAATAACTGGTAATTTCTCATTTAGTTAATCCTCGTTATGCTTTCCATAGAGGAAAATACGTAATCTAACTGCATTTACTGAACACCCTTGATTTTCATTTTTAAGTCAACTTATTGACCTCTCCTTGTTATAGCTGGGCACTTCACATAATTAGATTTTAACTGTTAATAATTGCTTTGCATGAAGAATAACTCCCCATTTACTTTTCCTGCTGTTAGGATTCTGTTTTAGTTTTGTTGCTGGGAGGAAAGGACTGTTTATATTCACTGCAAGCTGTAAATGAGAAACTTGGTACTGAATATTCCTGCTTGTCATTCACAAAGCTTTAAACAAGCTCAATCTCTTGGATCTGGAGGCAAGGAGAATATTAAGGCCTTGAGACTGTTATCTGGCTTATGCTGTATTACCATTCTCACAAGGAAGGTTGGAAACTATATAGACTAAATAGGGAAATTTTAGTGGACTGCATCTCATTGGTATTTTTATCTATAGCATATTTTTTTCTCTCAGCAATCGACTAATATTGTATCCTTAAGCAGTACAGCAGTCTGAGTGTTCACTTAAAGGAATAAGGGATGAAAGAGACAGATCATTGAGGAGTAATATGTACTTCATCTGAGGGCTCCTGAATGTTGTTTCCTGCTTCTAAGAATAAATTATAGGATAATAGTGGTTGGAAGGAACACCTTAGGAGATCACTTAGAACAATCTCCTGCTTAAAAAAAGTATCAAAATTGAATTCAGATCATGGTCCAGGGCCTTATCCAATAGGGTTTGAAACCCTCAGAGGATGAAGACTGCTTAGGTTCTCTGTACTATCACCCATCTGTTTGTTCTGTCCTGTACACTTTAATGTCCCAACTTTGTTACCAGGATACTGTGTCTCTTAATATGGTCACAAACCCTATTAAAGTCAAGGTGGATGACATTTACCTTTATGCTCTCATTTGTAGAACTGGTTATTTTGTTAAAGGCACCCAGATTCAGCAAGTGTGATTTGGATCTGCAAGTGCTTGCCAGCTGCTCACGATCATCTGTTTTATAAGCACAGAAATAACTTCAGGGAAAACTTTCTCTTGTTATATTATTGTATTTGTTATCCTAACTAGCCAAATGACTTTCTTTTGGCAATAAACAACACTTATATTATTGCTTATAATGACTCTGCATTCAACATAAGCCTTTCCTTCAAGTAATTTTTAAGAAAACTGCTCGGCAAGTGAAATTAACCTTCTGTATGTATTCTCAAAAAGCTTATTAAAAGTTAAATTTGTAACATGTTCCAGTGAGTCACATTTGCTACGTATAAAAGAAGATTCGTTGTTTTCTACAGAGATCTTCAGCCTTTATCCTAAAAATTACATAAACAGGAAGCCCTAGAAAGTCATTAAATCTTGATGTTGTTCTGCTAGCTTGCCCTCTGCCCTCTGTAATCGTTATTATTTCAGTTCTTTCACTTTCACACACCCTATTTGCTATTGTTTCTTGAGATTGCATTGAACACTCACTGGCACGTAAGATGAAGTAAATTTGCTCTGCTTCCTACGTGTTCTTGCATATCTGAGAATATGAGTTGGTACTTATCTGTAGCAGTACCAACAGCTGGGAATAAGTTAGAGATAAATAAGTGTGTGTGGAAAATGGTGAGTATTTAGTATTTATGGAATTTATTATTATTATTTTTTTCCCCTTGGGTAAGGCTAGTAAGAAAAATCTGCTTTCAGGGAAATTGGTTTAAAGCAGCTGTACTGTGCTGGTATTATTATTATTGTAATCTAAACTAAATTATTTACACTCATTAAAAAGAAATTATCAATAAATCCTAATGTTTTAAAGGAATTGGACAGAGGGAGGCAGTTGGCATCATGCAGCATTAGGCACCTGAATTGCCAACTAATATCTGTAGGCTTCTCTGGATGGCAAACCAGAGTAGGAGCCTGGTGTGGGTGCTTTGGTTTACACTCCTGAGAAGCCCTTTCATTCACAGACAGTGCAGGCAGTGTGAGAATACTAGCTGGCTAAGTTACATGCAAAAAAAAAAAAAAAAAAAAAGAGCAGTATAATTTATCTGAACTATGTTAAGTATACCTTTGCAATCTAGGTTTGGATATACTTTTTCTGGTGACATGGCAGGAAATGTGAAATCTTAAACTTGTGTATTTTCTGAAAACCTCAATTTATAGCCCAGAGATAGTTTTCTCATCTCTGAGTTGGGTCTCATCCCAGCTGACCTATTTGAGTTAAATGGTCACCTTTTTGGCTCCAAGCACTCACTCATTGAGCCACAAAACAATTTTGAGCCTGAGGCATTCTGTATATTTTGAGCATTAAATTTCATCTATGTGTCCAAACTGTATGGTACTGTCTTAAATGGTGATATGAGGCAAATGTTTACTGACTATTATTGAAAGTAGTACCTTCAATGGCAGTATCTTCAAAAGTATCTTTAAAATCACATTCAGTTGGATCTTCAAAGCTATTAATTCATTAACAAATTGACTAACGAGATATTGTTTTTTTTCCAGTCAAACCTTTCTTTCTCCAAAAGAAAGCTCTATTTTTTATTCTATACTAGTATTTAAAATAATGTGTGTTTTGAGAGTTTTGCTGGTAACTGTTATCAGTCCATGCTTTAAGAGTGCAAAAAAATAGAATATGGAGCTGTGCTCTTCCATCATAGGGTCATCATTTCATTTTTTTTGTGTACTATGAAGGATCATTGTTTAGTTCACTATTAGGAAGCATAGCTTTCCTTCATTTCATAGTGTATTTGGGTGGTAGGAAAATCAAAGCTATCTGAATCCATAGTGTATGATCCAGACTTCAAAGGAATTTTCGTAGTGAGTCAGAAGAAGGTTGGATTGAAGCATACGGTGTCTAAATGTACTGTCATGTTTGTCTACCTTTCTTTCTGGTAACATAATATAGCATTGTTCTTGGTATATTTTGAATAATACGTGTGCATTTCTTTACTTAATCTGGAAAATGCTTTAGTTGTGTAATCCACATTTGTTCTGGTAGGGGAATTATTCTCAATGGAAGAATCATTCAGCTATAATTCATAAAATTGTACTTTGGGAAGACCGTTTCTCAACTTGCCTGTTTTCTGAACCATTAAAACAAAACAAAAAAAGAAAAGAATGAGAAGGATACTGCTTTTGTATGTGCTCTGTCCTTAGGCTAGATTACCTGCCAACACATAGTAATAGGTGAAAGAGTATAAAGTGCATCCTGTCTTGCAAAATATCAGTAAAATTCAAAGTCCAAGTTGCAATAAAATTTGTAAGTGGCTTGTACCCACTGGCAAAATAAATACAATCCAGAGAATTCTAATAGGACAGCACCCGGCAATATTTTGAGTGAGTCTAATTGCCAGTCAATTCAGAGCTAAAAAACTATCTTAGCAAAGCAATATAGCAGCATATTTTTGTCAATCAAGCCCAGAAAATGTAAATAAGAATATAAGAAAGCCAGCTCATACTGGAATTAACAGAGTGGAGTCTGGTTTTGTTGGTTTTTTGGGAGGACAAATAAGAGGATTATCCAAACATAAGTTGAATTTCAGCAAATTTCTGCTACAGACACTGTAGTGCTGCCTCTCTCTGTTACTATCCCAGATTATAAAGGTTGAGGCAGGAGTGGGCTAACCAGAAAGCATTGTTAAATGATATAGCTGGAACATGAATGCTTGCAAACCCAGAAAGTTCTTCATATTTATGTATCAGGTTTCAACATTACATTAATATTAGCTGATTTTACTGACCTTATACTCACAGTGCGATCAGTTTTTCTGAAGACCTTTTGAATACCCACCAGTAAGCATTTCTTTGACTGAATTATTTTTTTCTTCCCATCATAAATGTGTTTAAAAAATAACTGTGATTGGAAACATTTTTTTCCTTCTGTTTTCATCAGATAGCCCTGCAGCACTTTGTCAGCTGCAGGTAGATGATGAGATCATTGCTATCAACGGCACAAAGGTTTCACAAATGGACAGTAGTCAGTGGGAAGAAGCCATCACCAGAGCATTAGAAACTGGAAACCTGGTCATGGATGTTAGACGATATGGAAAGAATGGTGAGTTGTTTCATAGGGCAGGTACAGTATGCTCTGTAAGGCAAATAGGCTTTGTCTCTGCTGTACCTGACAGCTGAGTCTCCTTATTACCCTTACAGTAGTAATACGTATCTGAGCTAAGTAGTTTGCTAGTGTGTCTGTTGCATTTTAACACAACTTGGCTTTTTTTAACCGCTCGCGCATTGGAAATGTTTTGGCAAGCAAATCTACTAAACATTAATTTACTGACCTCTGTCTGGTGCTCGGACCTGTTTCTAAGAGGAGGTGCAGTTAATAAATAAATGCTCCACCAACACACAAGGGAATATGAAATTTTATTTTTTCTGCCATACCACAAAAATGACAAGGGGATTAGTTTCCAGAAGATAATTTTTAAAGCCCCTGTCCATCAGTCTTCAGCTCCTCCTTTCTTCAGTGAAGGAGGGGCTTTTCTGTTTTCTTCAGGGAGGGTTCTTGCTGATATATGAACTTGTAGTTGATATAGCTCCTCTGTGCTGTAGTTTTGACAGTTGACCCGAACATTGTGATGCTGTAATCTCTCCAAAATGGTAGTACCCATCCAGACTTTCATCCTGGCTGAATTTGTTGAGCTCTTCAAGCTTCCTGAGAATTTGATCAAGTGTTGGAAATGTGACTAGTGATTTAATTGAAAGTAGAACGTCAAAGCATTACTTTAGTGGGAAGTAGAATAATTTACCAACAAGTGAGGAAAAACCAGTGGAGTAGGAAAAAGATGAGTAATGCCTAATAGCATGAATTAAGATTGAAATTGTTGCAGAAAAGCTAACTTAATAAAACTTAGGGGATGGGGAGGGGACTGGGGGGAGGTGGCGTAATGGACACTAAATGAAGATGATGGTGACTTTTTTTTTTCCTTACCTTCGTCAGTTTTTCTAGTTTAGACTACCTTTTTATTTTTTGCCCTGTGTGTTTCCTGAGTAGCTTGGACATGAAAATGACACTTCACTGGATAGTGTATGATTCAAACTGTACCTTGTGTGAGTAAAGCTGGAAGAACTTTCTTGATCCTTACTAATGCTGATGAAATAGTTTTCAATGAATACTAATTACTCTCTAATGTTGAGTTGCTATAGTCCCATGTTAGCAGAATATTTGGTGAACTCTTACGTGGCTTCTAACTAACAATTGTATTTTTGGGGAAGGCGGTCTTCTCATAAATGCCCTCTGTCCTGTCTCCACAAATTCCATCTGATTTGTGTCTCTCCCTCTTTATTTATGTGTTTCCTGAGTTATTTTAATGTGTTTTCGCTAACTCCTGTTCTTTGACATTACTGTCTATGTTAATTTCTTGATCTCCACATACCAAAAGACTGGGGCAAAGACCAGCCTTCCCTGCCACATGTAAGGCATAAAATCCTCAATCTCACCAGTATGGGTACCAACATTATAGGTACATCTGATAATAAGTGGATTGATGCAACTTCTGGAGAACGCGTTTCAAGTGTCTCAACCATATCAACAAAAAGAGAATTCTCCAGCAGCCTTCAAAGTTCTGTGAGTGTGTTTGAACAGTTTTGGGATTTGGGGGGGAAGAAACAAGTGAAAATCGATCGGCATGAGGAAGGGGAGAACAGAAAAGAAGAAAAGACCTTAGAAATCTTATTCTTAATTTGCATTGTTAATTCTAAGGAATATGCAGGTTTTTTGCAAATACAATATTAAGATGCTCTGAGAACTTTCTACTCTGTTCATACATTTATGAAAAGTATTAAAATATTTGAAGATTATAGTTCAACTAAAAGTTGAACTATTTATTCTTTAGAAAATCATATTACCTCCATTGTTAGTGTAAATTAATGTTGCAGTCTAGAGGAACAGTGAGTATGTGCTTTCAAATGACTGGCAAATAACTCCCAGCTTGCCAGAGGAGCAGCTGAAATGGAAGATCTTGGCTTCCGGTACTTTATTGCAATATCAACTACCAGTTCACAGCTGGTCATTGATCCCTGCAAAAGCTTACAGTCATTTTATCATATAATCTACTCGGAAGTTTTAGTTTTGTATGCTTCTGTTGAAGTTTTTATATTCTGAAATGTTTCAAGATGGTACAGTTTCTACTGGGGCACTGTTTAATTGAATCAACTTCCACAAATCTAATAAGCTTGAGCTCTTTTTTTTTTTTTTTTTTTTTTTTCCAGGGAACAGGAACAAAATTGATAAATGGCATGCAAGGAGATCTTGGATCTAATGAACAAAGAGGTAAGCTACCATTGCTTTTCATCTTCTAATTGTATGGGTTTTGGAGCAAGCACAGATACTAAACCTTGTAATCACTACAAGTTTTGTACTGTGGCTTAAGTGTGAGACCTTAATGAACTAAAAAGGTATCACAGATCTAATTGCATCCAAACTGGGTGTAAGTGGCTTCCACAATATGCTGAGCAATTGGAGACTTGACAACAAGAAGGTGACAGATCCTCTGTCTCAGAATTAGTTGTTGTAAACTTGGTATAGGGATAAGGATGAAAAAGCAAAAGACGACACAGAATTTGTTATAATTGCTACTGCATCATGTGAAGCCTGATTCAGTGTAAGTATCAATTTATTTCACTGCTCTGGAATAGAGTGAAATAAGTATTGTGGGTTTTCTATTTCATTTATGAGGATTTTGGGAGGCATGAAAAATGTTGGCAGTGGTTATTTTTATTGTTTTGTTCTTGTTGTTGTTTGTTTTTATTCCTGAAGAATGATATTGATGGTTCTGATATGAATAATAATTAGTTATGATGCTATGAACCATTATAATACTACCTGATGACAGTGAGAGAAATCAGGTATGTAGACTTCCTAATGGAACAGAAATTAGTGTTTCATTGTATCTTGCATGTGCATGGTAATTTACAAGAGATCTGCCAAAAGGTCATTTGCCTTCTGGAGATGCCTTTCAGGTGACGTTGAATTGTATTATTGTTTTAGTTGGACAGTGTTAGATATTGAAATGAAATACTAATCAGTGTATGATGTAACTAACTAAGAACTGTCTTTATTGCTATGAAAGATGAGATTTTCTTCATCTCAGGGGGCTTGTTTTTCTTTTTTAAATGACGTGGCTGTAGACTGGAGGTGTAATAAGTATTTGTTATCCAATGGTGATAGTCATTTAAAAGAAAAACAAAACAGCACCTCATTGATTTGTTTGTATTCTCTATATTTTTCAAATAGCATCTGAACCTATTTCTTTGAAAAACTTAAAAAGGCGGTCACAATTTTTTGAACAAGGTAAATCAAAGAGCTAATATTTCATGTACTTTCATGAAATTGTTCTTGCTGCACACTCTTCCTAACCATTCTGGTGCCGGGTACTCTGCCTCTTCAGCATTGTTTGCTACAGTTATCTTGAAGCAATGTAATTCATTTCACTTCTTTCCCCAGGGTCATCAGGTTATTCTTACAATTCATGGGTCTACCTTTGTGGTAATGGGTCTTTGTGTGTTCTCTTATATTTATAGCTTTTTTTAATCTCTTATATGTTGTTCATATTTCTTTTATACACTGGGTTAAGAGCAAGACGGATAGCACTCTGTTCAGGTTTGCTACTACCTACAAAACAGAATAATATTGAACATTCCAGCAGAGGCGTTGTGTAAAATTCAAACAGCTGTTAACAAAATACTTAACTCCGAATTTATTTGGAGTCGTAGCTGTGCACATTCTTTCACAAACTGGTGGAAAGCAGCAGTAACCAACTCTCCACTATGTGGTGAAGTCACTAGATCTTGAAAAGATCAGTATAAATTTTGAAATAAATCTTCTGGCTTTTGAAGATAAAATAAATAAAAATTAGGCACTCAATTTTGGTTTTGTAGGTTGCATTTTGGTGTTCTGCATGTCACATTCTCACGTACTTCCACTAATGTATGCCTAATACTGTCTTCAGACTACATATGCCTTGCTGTTTTATTGTGAAATTCTGGCCCACTGGAAGTCCAGTGTGAATTTTGCCAAAGGTTTAAGTGGAACCAGGACTTTTCCTCAGTGATAATGGCTTTCATTTGTTGAGAAGTGATACGTGAAGTGCTGCAACATATACCTGTGTTTGTGGTTTTGTGATTCTGTTTGCTATATTGTATCTTTGATAAGGTGATATTCTGTTGTTGGTTGTTCGTGGCTTTTTTTAGGTTGGCTATGAAAATTGTGTTTGAATTGTATAGCAATACTTGTAGTATTTCAGTTCTGATTGAGGGGAAGGAAAAGTGTATATTTCTAGAGTATGCACTCAATGCAGTTTTGCTTGTTTTTTGATTTCTTTAAAATACTGATATGAAAGAATTTTCTTTTTAAGCCTGTACAGACAAGCATAGTGTTACAGGGATAAGATGAGAGGAGATGTCCTTCGTATCCTAAATTAAGGATTTTGCAACTTGTTGCATTTACGCATTTTTTTTTTAAGTGAAATTTGAACAGCTAAGTAAAAGGATACTAACTACAAAGAAAAATAATTATGTAGGATGATGCTTGGGGAAGGATTACTCTTACCTTAGTGCTTCTCCACATTTTCTCAACTTTTAATATATCAGCATCTATCTATCTATATTATATTTTATATATATATATGTATGTATTTATATGTATATATTTTTTTAAGTAGTCATTTTGGCACAAGCTAAGCATCATATGCTCAAATACTGTATGGTTTGAGGTGAATGGTGACAAGCTTAGCAAATTCACATGTACTTTGGAGAGCAGGAAAAAAGGGCAGTTGGAAACCTACATTAGTTGAAAGCACCTGGTGTATTCTGAGCTCCAGTAAGTGTGAAGTAGGGTCAAATGCAAGCATGGCTTACTGTTGAAGCAAAAATTTCATCTGATGTTCAGACTTTCACACTTGGATAGGTATTAAAGTAGTTAGTACTGTTCTAATAATTCCTATGTGTTTTTTTCTGCTTTCCTTTCTACTCCCAAATCCTACAGGAGGCCCGGAGCCTGCAATGCCTGATGTAAGTAGTGTTTACAAACTACTAATTAGCTGCATAATCCTTGTCTTTTTTAGAAGTTGACTGCTTTCTATTGCTTTTTTTTTTTTTTTTTTTACTCTGCTTTAAAATTCCAATCAAATGAGAGTACTGAGATGTTTAATATGTAAAAGGATGGTTGCCTACTGTCCCTTTGAGGAGACTGAATCAGGTTCTTGCTACTCTAAAGCTGTAGTTCTTGTAATGGCTTTTATTTCTCATTTTAAGTTAAAATGTAGAGTGTTGATCACATGTAGTAAGATAGTATTAATTTGTTTCCTTGCTGTATTAGCTCCCAGTCCCATCCATTAGTGCTCCGAGTCGGCGGGTTTGGGATCAAGAAGAAGAACGAAAACGACAGGAGAAATGGCAAAAGGAGCAGGATCGTTTATTGCAGGTAATGTTAATCTTTGTGACTTTGTGTGTGGTAACCATTAGAGAAGAAAACTTCTCTTGACTTCTGTGACTCTTACTGATGGTGGAAGGGGACTTCCAGATGCATTTGCTGGGCTGCACAATCTTATACACAATTTTTCAGAAAGAAAAGAGGGAAATGCATTAGTAAGTTTCACAAAATCAAACCCAGACTGTATATTCACTACAGCCAGAAGTGCTCAGTCATCAGAAGGCTGATTTGCTCTCACTGGCAAAACAATTTACAACAAGGCAAGATGTAAGTCTGGTTATAGATGCCTGCTACTGTTCTAATGTCAGCTTGGTTCTCGGGACCTCAGAAAGCCAAACCATCTGACTAGTGCAAATCCACCTTGACAATCAGATACCAGAGATGGAGGAAAATGTTGCAAAAGGAAAGAGGAATGTTTGCTATCTTAAGACGATGCACAAAAACAAGCACATGTTCCAGGATTGAGCAGTCTTATGCTTCACTGACCTGAGGTCTTTACTGTATCTCTGGAAATTAAATTATGTGTGCAAGGTCTGTTGGCTAACAGAAGCATCAGTGAATCTCATTTACTCTGTGCAAGCCATCTTAAATAGCATTTAGGCATTCAGCAGTAAATCATGATGACAAAACATAGTTTAACTATTCTCTTGCTTTTTGGATGTTTCAGCTATTGTCATTCCTTTTAGCTTTCAAAATCCATGAGGTGGATTTGTGACTTTATAAGCATATTTGTGATATTTGTTATGGCTTGGGTGCACAATTTGACATCTGGAGAGATGCCTTTGAGGAGTATAAACCTTGGCTTCTCTTTTATTGAGAACAATTGAATCCCTCTGCCATCACTTCTCCTTGTTTCCTTTTTTCGCACTTGAAAAGTTAAATTTAGCCAGATAAATATAATAAAGCTATTTCTCTTTCCCATGATCTTGTTACTTATTTAAAGACCAAAGAAAGGAAACTAAGTCTTTATTTGCTAATTTCCAGCATCTTAGAAGGAACTTTTGCAATCACTGCATATTTAGCTTTTCCCGGGACTGAAGTGGTGGTTGTCAAAAGCAACAAAATGTTTACTGTGTACCTTGAAAAATGTCTTAAGACATTGCATTGATTTCATGTTAAAACCAGTCATAGGACAAAATTGGAGGCCCAAAAATAGGCTTTTGTTCAGATAAACTTTCTAGGAGACCAAATGTTCTTGCTGAAACCAAATTACTGCCTCATATTTCACTTAGTCATTGCTTTATATTTATCATATTACTCTGGCCAGTTCCAAGTTAAATATAATTACTCTGTAATCAAGAAATATTTTAGATAGCTTAGTTCCCAACTGAACAAAAATCAGCTGTAACAACAGGGAATATAGCAGATGTGAGGCCAGTTGTTGTGAGACTTATCATGTAAGAAGCCTAGATTCTCTGAAATTGATGAGTGAACTCCTTGTGTTGGTATTTAAGCCAGAATGTCATTCATTTGTGGTTCACCTAATGTCCCAGAGGAGCTCAAGCATTTTTATACCAAACTCATTAAATAAAGAGTAGAATATTTTAATGCAATTAAACCAAATTCCTTATTTGTGTGTTTAATTTCAATCTAACCTAACAGGAGAAATACAAACGGGAACAAGAAAAACTGAGGGAAGAATGGCTACGAGCTAAGCAAGAAGCAGAAAAAGAAAACTCCAAATATTTAGATGAGGTAAGCTGTGAATATGGTGTCACTTTTGACTGTTCAAATGGTGGCTTTTTAAACTACTAGAGGGAAGATGTAAACATACAAATAGTTATTTTGTTATGTCATTTGTCTCCTTGTTTTGGAACATAATTGCTCCTAAAACAAAATGATTGTCTGTGACTTAATAGGAAGAGATTGGTAAAATGGAAAGTGGAAATTAAAATGGAAAGTTTGATTTCACTTTTTTTCATCATGGATTTGCTAAGTAACTAACGCTAAGGATATATTGGCAAAATGTTACAAATTGTATGAATTATCGTGACAAGAATCAAATAGTCACCGTTATTGTATAATATTTACCTCTTAGTATTATGTCTTGAAATTCTGCTTCAGTACTTGATCATTAGGTGTGTTTGTAATTTCTGGGCTGTTTGCTGGTGTTCAGTTTGTCCTATCTTTGGAGAATTTACAGATCAAATCAACTTCAGCTTTAAAACTTTGAATGTGTGTTGTTTCAATAGTGCCTACTATTTGGCTGCTTGTGAGAACATAGGTTTTTGCTGAGCATAGGAAGTGTCTGTGATACCTCTTCTCTTTTGCTACATAAGCATAGCTTCAGGCATCCCAGCTATATCAGCTGTGTTCATGTTGTCATGAGCATCAAGACTTTAATTTAAGGCTTAGAATTTCAGTATTGAAAAAAACTTGTTAGAGCTGTTCGAAGACTTTGCTGTACAAGAATGTAAAACATTTCATTAAAAAGAATCATTAAAAATTTGGATGCAGCAATCCTTAATTGGTAAAGAGTATTTGTTCTCTACAATTAAAACTTATTTTGACTACTGAAAGACCTTTTTCATGTTTGAGACAGAAGTTAGTAAGTCAGATACTAAACTTTCTAATGGCAGGAGAGTGTAGGAGGCTGGGAGTTTCCTCCACATGATGATTCCTGTGAAATATGTTGGTCAGGTACACACCTGCAGTAGCTGTCTTAGGTAGGTCTCCAGTTTGGAAATTAAAAAAAAAAAAGACTATGTTGGGTATCTTGAAGAGATTGTTTTTAGTGAGCATTTAAGTGGAGATGGAATGGCATGGAATTTAAGAAGTGTTCTAGAAAGCAGAATGCTTCACATACTTGTGGACACACTGCCCGTGATGCTTGCTAAGACCGTGTGGAATGAAGCTCTCGCATTAGGAGAATGTGCCAGCAGGCACATGTTCAAGAAGAAACCAAAGTACGCCCTGTCTCTTGCATTTGAGAGTATTTGGATGCTTTTTACACCAGCCTTCCCAGAATAAATAGAATAAATAACCTCTTCTGATTCAGCAATCTGCTTTAAAAAAAAAAAAAAAAAAAAGCACCAAAAAAACCAAAACAACACACAGAGCTTCATCCCCTAAAAACGCTATTTCTTTTATCTGCCACAGGAACAAACTGTTATAACCTCAAACATGATCACAGTCTCTGCGCGAGCTCCATCTGCCTCCAGCTGGAGGGCAAGCCCTGAAGTGAGTACTCCTGAGGAGCCAGAAGGAGATGGAGGAAGTGAGCTGGCAGCACACTTGCTGGCCAAGGAAGAAGAAAGGAGGCTTCAGGAGGAAGAAGAAGCAGCCCTGCGTGTTGAGCGAGAAAGGGAACACCAAGAACTAGAGCTTGAGAGACAGCGTAAAGAGAGGGAACAGCAGTATGCCGAGGAGCAGAGGCGGCAGGCAGAGATGGAGGAGCAGAGGCGGCAGGCAGAGATGGAGGAGCAGAGGCGGCAAGCAGAAAGGCAGAGGGAAATGTCAGTGGAGACATCTCAGTACCAAAGGTCTGCGCTTGGGATGAACTCTCCCTTCTGCATAAAAATTGAAATACCTTTCCAAATGGAGTTCATGTCTTGAATATGTACATTCATGTCGGGTTCATACTGTAGATTTACCAGTGCAAGACACTACAAGATAACCTAACCGTCTTGTAGTTCAGCAGTGAAATAGTAAAGGTATCCCAGTTTTGCCATCCTTTGCTCATTGTGTAAGCACGATCATAATTACAGGTAACTGAGTTGGCATAATTTGAGCCCAACCTTTCCTTAATGCCTTTTGTTGCAAACCACTTCTTCACATTGTGCAGACCAGTTTTCTTTTGTGCTCTAATAGTATAGAAATAATTGTGCATTCATTTTTGTATTTCAGCTGAGGGAAGAGATTTAGAAGCAAATGGATGATAACCAAAATTTTGCAGCCTGATTGCCAGTGCTCATTGCTATGAATGATATTGTATTACACAGAGCATCCTGCTGAGACTGAATAAAATGCTATTCTTTCATATGGTAGAAGAATCAGGTGTGAGATGAAGTCATCCCTCTTGAATGGAGTGCTCTATTAACCCACTTCTGCTCATTTCTAAATAGATACAGATAAAGTAATTGTCACCAAATCAAAGGTGACCTGAAGTACTTAATATGAAGATCTATAAGAACTACAGTGTAGGATTGCAAATTGAGAGCCAATAGCTCAAAAATACAGGGCTTTCAGAAAAAATATCAAATTAACTCGTTTCTAACAAAGTCATGACTGATCTTTACAGATTCCTTTATCATTTTAGTTAAACAGTGCAACAGTAAGGTTTAGCTGTGCCTGTGTGCTAGTTTCTCAATGAAAAGCATCGTCATGTATGAGTTAGCAAATACTGACTTAAATATCATATTGTGTTGGAAATATCCACTTTGGACATATTTATCATTGAGCATTAAAGTGTTTCTTCCATTACCTTCATCAGCTTGCTTAAAATTAATAAATAAAATAGTTTATAAATGCAAATTTTTGCATAGAAGTTTTCCAACTACTGCTTCAGGTGTCACAGGAGATTAATCTGTCTGAAAGATTAAAGCAGTAACTTTTCCTTGTTTCTTGTGCACTTAGCTTACTGCTTTGCATACAGCAAGCTTGAATGTTACCCTTGAGGATTTTTCCCTTTTTTTATACAAGCAGTAAGAGATGACTGAAGATAACACATGGTATTAAGTTACATCTTAGGAGAAAAAAATACATTCTAAAATTGCATATATTTGCTGGGGAGACTGTGAGATCTGGAGTTTCTTTAGCTCATAGTGATTTTTTTCTGCTGAGCAAAGTGGAGGCATGGCTGTTACAATTGGTTATTCTTGGCACCTGTACCAGGGTATCTCTATAGTTTAGCTTGCTCCATTTGCAAGATAAGGCATTGTGCAGTAACTTGTAAAGCTGCTGTGATATCTGCATATCTAAATCCTTGATATATGCTTCAGTCTCAGGGGATATGATTACTTCTGAGGTTGCTGCAAAAGGATGCATGTTGCTAAACAAGGATGGCTGTGCTGAATAGTAAAGGAATAAGTTCAATCAAACTGGGATTTAAAGTAACTAGTGCTAAATGCTTCTGTTACAATGATATCCAGAGATTTTGCTTGAAATCTGAAATACTGCGTAACTGTATGTAAAAGCAACTGGGGACAAGCAACCGGAAGAGCTTTGTCTGTAGAAGTTAGCAAGTCTCTCTCTATGGATTACAGGCTGCAGCCATGAAATTTACCAGAATATGCATCTAATTCTTAGAGAACTCCTGTGTTTGGACAAAGCTTACCTTCAGACTTTGAAATAGATGAGATAATCACTGTCATATATTGATATTTTTTCAGTGTCGTAGTCTGTTTTTAATCTTCTTCCTCATGTTTTCAATTTGATTAACATCTGAACTTTGTATTTTCTGTATATGTATACTATTAGTTCAATTTTGAGATTGTTTTAATAGATAATTGCTTTTATCTGTATGTTGCTTCTAGACGTTATGAGCGCTATGAAGTATCTAAAACAACAGAGAACCAACCTGGCCAACATCTCATTGACAGGTGAGAAGAAGTGCAATCAATACATAGGTTGAAATATCTTTAGCAATAAGTTATAAGCATTTAGGCATGTAGAAGTTTCTATTCCTCACTTACACACTTACAAGAAGGTAATTTCAGGCTGTTTTTCTAACTGATAAAATTGAGGCTGCTTAGATCTTTGTGTTTCTGGAGGCTTTTGTTTGTTTTCTTAAGGATCTGTTTTCAATATTTTTGTGAGGAAATATTTATAGTTCTATGTCTATCTTTGTCTGTACATAAAGATAGTGGGTTTTTGTTTGTTTGTTTTTAAATAGGCGCTATGAACGCTATGAATCTTCCAAAACCATCGAGGAGCAACCTGGTCAGTCATTTTCTGACAGGTATGTGTGATACTGAATTTCGGCGTAGATGGTGGTGATATAGGATCATAGAATATTCTGAGTTGAAGGAATGCATAAGGATCACCCTTCAATGTCTTCATAGCCCCCCTTTGGACACTCTCTGATAGTTCTGTGTCCTTCATATGTTGTGGAACCCAACCCTGTCCCCAGTGCTGGAGGTAAGGCTGCACAGCACAGTGCAGTGAGACTCTCTGTGTCAAAAATCCTTGAAACTTCTGATCAGCTTTGGCCACTGGCAGCTGCTGCAGTTTTTATGATCTGTTTTTGTATTGAGAAAACAAGCAACCAAACTCTTAGCAAATTATGTGCTGTGCTGTAAACAAGAGTGAGTTAGTCAATCAGTCAGGATTTTGCTGGGAGAAGCAGAACTATAAGGAAGTAAATACGTGGGTGGTATTGGACTTACCTGTCTGGAAAACAATTTCTTGGTTGTGTCATAGTGTGCTGTACAAATTAAGGTGCAGTCATCCCAATGAAGATTGTGAAACTTACAGGCAGCAAACAGGGAAGGATGTGACAGACAGCAGCAGCATATTTATCAGGATGTGCTGATAAATGTGCCACCTGCTAAATGTGCCTTGTTTTTTTTCCTACACTCATTTCTACAGAATGTACTAGCTGATGCAGGTTCCCTGGACTTATTGAATAGACAGCTTTTCTTCTAGCTTTTATGTTTTGCTCTATGGTTTAGAAAATGACGAATTAGCCTAAATCAGAATATTTGTATCAAGCCTTTGTCGTAGATGGCATCTCACAGTACTGAAAGATCATCTCTGCTGTGCATTTAGTTAATTCTTACTGTTGGAGTAAGCATGGCTTATTACATAAAGAGGAGCCCTAGATTTTACAAGGAACCCATAATGAATTTATCTGTAAATCTAATTTCAGAAACTGCATGCACTAGTTAGTTATCTCTTGCGTATGTGTATGAGGAAGACACTCAAATGCTTAAAATCAGCCCAGACAAGGTCAACCTGATCTTTGGATCTCCTGCTCAATACAAACTGCTGTGCATTCATTGCATAGGTTCCCAAGATAGAACAAATAATCAAAATCTGAAGAAGCAAAAAGTTTGGTGCAATTTGTTTATGCATCCTTTGTCTGCAGCCAAAGGACAAGACTCCCTCAGTATATTTTAATGCATCCAGTACTGTACTTAGAAGCACACTGCAGTAGCAGCTTTGAGCTGTGTACCAAGAAAAGACTTCTGTTCCTTTCTGAAGTGTTTTAAACAAGAAATCTGGATGTGTTACTTCAGACTAATAATACCCACAGAGGTGTTGCTGAAGATCCTGTGTAGAGTCAGAAACCCAGCTTTTTGCTCTTTGCCTTCCTGTATAGGGAATGGCATCCCTTGGCTATTAAAAAATTATGCTGCTGGGTATAATCAGTGAGTAATAAGTTTCCTCAGAACAATCTGAGTGCAGTGTTTGAGGAGGTATTTAGCTTACAGTCTAGTGGTGTGTGCTGAAGTGTGATTTAAGTTACTCATGAAGTTGAATCATTTATGAACTTGCTTTTAAAGTTATTGCTTCTTGACTGTACTCTTTGGAAAGTTTCCACAACGAAGGGACTTTGCTTTGAAAATACTTTTGGTTAAGCAAATACGATGATCAGACCCTTTCAGCTGAAGCATTGGGAATGTTCAATACTTTATTTCAGCTTTCAGTATGTGGTTACCTATGTTGTGCAATACTGGCACCTTTTTTGACACTTGAATATCCTGTTAGTCTTTAGTTTTTGTTTACCTGATTGGTTTTTATTGCAAACATTTGATGAGAAAACCACTGAAAGAAAGGGGCTGTGTATCTGTAGTCTGCACTAAGATCTTTATCCTTCTTGGCTGAGTGAATATTTTCTGTATCTTTAGGAATAAATCCAAGTCAACTTCAGAGCTGAATGAATTCAATGCAAACAGAAATAGTAAGTACTTAATTTATATTATTTTTTATACTTATTTTTAAAACAGGTATATCAGTAGCAGTTATCCTAAGAAAATTAATTAGCAAAGTACTTTTTTATAGCTGAATTATGGTTTGAATTTTATACTACGGCACAATATAGTGAAGCTCTACAAACAAGAGGATATTCATACCATCAACTGGATAAATATGATTAACTCCTGTCTTGAAGTAGTGCTGATTGCAAAGAGATCTTAGATGCTGAAGTTTTAGATAATTGAAAGTGCAGAAGATGAAACTTGTCACACCTGTGTATAACTGAAAAAGCTTGTTCTCCTCATATGTTGACTCAGCTTGGTATGTGCAGTTGTTTTTTTTTTTTAATTGACTGATGTTTTCAACACGTTTGTCATTTTCAACTTTTGTTAGCTTAGAAATAACACAAGTGAAAATCAGCTTTTGATACTGTCATAATGGCTCTGCAGTTTCCTGGACTGCGCTTTGTTGCTGCCTTTCTTGAGTTGTCCATCATTTGTTACTGCTTTTCTAGAGTTAAGAGTGAGGAAGACTAAGTATTATAAAGTAGAAAATTTCTGAAAGCTACACCTATGTCTAAAACACGGTTAGTAAAGGTAATCATAAAGTAAATGGCTCCCTAGAGGAAATTTTGTAAATGGACAGTATTGTTTTCACACGTTAAAGCTCAATCATTGAAAGTAAAGGGAGAATATACTTCCACAGTATTTTATAATGGGAATGGATGGCAATAAAATTAAAGCACATCTGTAATCACAGTAGTATTGAAATTTAAATTGAAGTGAATTACCGTTGAGTAACTTTCTTAATTAAATGATCTTATTATGAGGGATAATTAATGGATTTAGAAAATAAAGAAAAAAATGTTGTCCTCTAACTGTCAGAGATGAGAGAAAGAGGGCTTGTTGCTTTCCTCTTTCAAAAATTCAAACTGGTATTGAAAGGTCTTTTACTGTATAATCTCATTTTCGTTGTTTAGTTACCACAACATCCAAGTAATAGACATTCTGTATCAATTTTTTTATATAGACATATATACAAATGTAGAAAGAAGCTTGAGAATGTGATGATGAATGCTTCTGGAGTTATACTTGGTGTACTAGATGCTTGACAACTGCTTTTGTGCCTATGTCTTGTCCTAACAGGTACTCATAGCAGGCATTCAGAGAGGTCTTGGAACACGAGTGAGTCACAGAAGGGGTCTCAGAAGGAGCACAACCTGTCTGCAGCAGAGTTAGAGAGACAACAAATCCTTCAGGAAATGAGGAAGAAAACATCTCTACACACAGACAGCAGCTGGATTAGGCAACGCAGTTCCAGTGTGCATAAGGAGCCAATCAGTCTGTACAGCAGTAGTATGAGGAGGTAGGAATCATGTTAAAAATTAACTTTGTCTCTCATCAGATATTTTTGTTTGGTTATTCTAAACTTCAGCTCCTATTACAGAGCACTGAAACAAATCCAGCATGTAAAAAGCTTTAAGGTAAACTGAATAGCAGTGCAAGTAGAAGAAGGTAATTGTATTCCAGCTGGGATTAAAGGTTTTTTTTTTTTTGCAAAGTAAAGTGTGTTTGAGTGTGTGTGTGTGTGGTCTGCAAATAAATGTTGATTTCTTGGCTGATATAACAGCACTGGAAATCAGTAGTACTGACAGATGTGCTTAAGAATTTCAGTAATATAATTTATTGTGGAAAATACTGTAGCTGAAGAGTATAACACTTTTACACAGAAGTATTGGATCAGAAAGTCTAGAGTTCATTTCTTTCTGTAAGTAATGTATGAATGTTGGGTTTGTCGTTTAGGAAACAACTGAGTTATCAGTCAGGAGAATGTTTGGCTAATGGGCCAGCACCTTCATCGTAGACAATGTGGCTGTCCAGCCTATATGGATTGTTATTTTCAATCTGCTTTCCCTTAAAGACTACAAAAACAAACCACTAACTGAGGTCTGTTGCTGTACAATGAATTCTGGCATAGTGCACTCTCATAAGGCTGCAGCAAAGAGTGTTTTACTCTTACACTGCAGACATTAAATGCCACCTCTCCTTCACCTATATTTTTTTATTCCCATGAGACTAGGACTGAACACAAAGGATAATTTGCAGTTCAAATATTAAAGTCAGTGTGTTTAGAATACCCTCAAGATGATTCGACAAATACATTCATGCTAGAAAATCTGAAAAAATCATAAGATATTTTTCCTTTTTGAAATCAAAATATAGCTCTTCTGCTTTAGCTGTACTGCCATTTACATCCGTATATGTATCTGTGTTACAGAGGGGAGTCTTTGGACAATCTCGATTCTTCAAGAACAAGCTCGTGGAGGCACCACTCGAGGTTGAACCAGTCCTCCTCCACTTCATCTCTGTCCTCTAATCAGGATCACAGCCGCCCGGTGTCCACTTCAAACCGGGCCTACATGTGCACTCCTTCCTCTGCCAAAGCACCTCCATTGACCACCTCTGTGAGAGCCCCACCTGCATCACAGGCAGCCCCCCGGGTGCAGTCTCCTGTTTCTGCTTCCCAGCCAGGGTCGCAGATGCGTAGCAGGTGAGTAGGTGCCCTTCAGCTGGGAAGACACACATATTAGGCTGTGCTGAAGAGCAGATTCTGTAGATGCGATGTTCTGCAGCAGCATTTACATAACGTTAATTAACAAGTCTGAAAAGTACCTGCAGTTTTCTTGGTGAATGGGACAGTGGAAATGTAGGCTGGTATGACTTCCCTGCTCCGGTCATACAGAAAATTCCTCAGGTTTGTCATCAGTGCTTCACATAGATTAAGAAAAATGAACTGGAATAATCAATCTCTGGTCTCAGAGCTGTATGCTGGTTACCAAAATACTTCGTAAAAGCCTACTCCAGTTGGCATTTCTGATACTTATTTCCTGGGGTGTGTTTTAACAGCAGATTCCTCAAACCCACACTTTATGGCTGTCATCTTCATTTCTCCTCCCCTCTTCCTGGCATGTGGTCCATCTCATCTCAGTGAGCACTCAGGAATGCTCATAATTCGTGACCCTGGAGAATTACAGAGTAGGATGTTTTTTTTTAATCTTGGAGGAGAAAGCAAGGATTGCAACGTATTTTGAAACAAGGTGTAATTTAGTTGTGATAGATAGCTCTGCTCTTTTATATACTTGAAACATTTTAAAAACATCTTGAGATAAGATCATCCACACACAATTACATGTATTATATTTAACAGCACTGTAAACATAGCTACACTAACTCTTAGAGTCTCAGACACTTTTTGATAAATTGTCTTAAAAAAAAAAAAAAATTACATTCTTTTTAATGTAAGAAAATGACCTACTTAAACATGTGTGTTTATCTTGTTCTCATTTCCATTTTCTGATTTGCTAACAGCTTGGTAGATCTAAGGAAATCTAGCTCTGTATGGTTCACATTCAAAGAGTTGAGATAATACTGTATATTTAGGACTAGCCTCCTGTTATCTAACAAGGTGCAGATGGTAGGACTTGGTGGGAATGCTTGCTAAAACGTAGCCTTCAGGATGATCTTCTGCACATAAGAATTGAGGTAGGAATACAAAAGCAGTGTGTTTTTACTCTCTAAATGTAATGTAGTTTCAAGTTTATTTGTAGAAGGTATTTTATACAATGAAATTTCTCCCAGGAATGTAACAAATTTCTTCATCTGTTCCTATGTAACTTTGATCTTAATTATAACACTTCAGCTTTCCCTATAATATAACAATATTTCTCTTCAATTTATTTCCCTTGAGCAGCTTAGTAGTCCAGTTTTTTCCAGCGTGTTTTTGTTTTTAATCTCAAGAAATCTTTAACTTTTCTCTTTTAAACCTTTTCAAGCTGGTTTTAAGGATTTTTGTTCTGTATCTAGGTCAGTCAGTGGGAAGAAAATCTGTTCATACTGTAATAACGTTCTGGGCAAAGGAGCAGCCATGATCATTGAGTCTCTTGGTCTTTGTTATCATTTACATTGTTTTAAGGTGAGATCTGGGAGTAAAGCTGTGAAGAAACAGGAACTAATCAGAAGCACGCATGGCTACTCAATGTTATGCTCACAGGGGCTATACTAAAATCATCTGCTTTGCCTTCTACTTTGAAGTGTGTTACCTGCAGGTTTCCATGAGGCAGTCCTATCTGCAGGCATTTAGCGCTCAAAGTTAATGAGAAGGAATTTGGAAGTATGTGGTCATGTTGACTGTAAGACCACATTTCTTTCTTAGAATTGACAGCAAAAAATCCAATCTCCTAGAGAAATCAGCCTGAGGCAAACACAGGAGAATAAATGCCTTCTGCAAAAGTTGTAAAAGCACTTGTAGTTCCCCTGTCTGAGGACTGAATGAGGAATTACTCTGCTTTGGAGGTATTATTTTACCTTGCATTTTCCATGTTTTTAATAAAACCCCCTCTGTGCCTCACTCAATTATCAGGAGTATTAAAAGAGGTTGACTCAAAGATCTTCCTAGTGCTGCCCAATGTGGATAGTAGTCAGTGGAGGCTGGTCTTCACTCCATGTCTCCAGAACATGTATTCTGGACAAGGGATCTACCGGTAGATCCTTACTTACGTAAGGCAATCAGAAATTTCTTTTAAAATGTCTTAAGATTAAGTGAACAATTAGCCATCCACAAAATTCATTTCTATTTAAGCAGACACATTTTCGTAAATTTTTCATAAATTTAGTAAGGATAGTGTTGGTCTTTCCAGAAGTGGTTCATATCCATAGTGAAGGTTTATTCAGCCACCATAGGTAAATTGGTTAGTTTTAGCATGAAAGCTATCTAGCCCTTTATTAGTGTCTTAAAGAAAAATGAAATTGTCCCTTCTTTCCACATAAAAACTTGTTTCTCTGATGCAAAATCGGGAAACTGTGGGACACACAAGTTTGAGTGCCGAAGGACTGAGGGCCCCAGCACATGTGCTGCCATATGGAAGTCTGAGAGAAGCACACTCAGGTGTTCTGTGTCAAAATCATTGTTTCCATCTAGGCAACAAATTCTTTCTTGTTGAGCTAGCTTTCAAATAAACTGAAGTTCAAATTCAATTTAATGAACTAATCTCTGAATGGTGTCTGGTCTTTCTTTGCTTGGTGTATCTCTGCTATCTGTTGTCCAGTCATCGCCTTAAGATACTTCCTGAGTTGACTGCACTTCAGTCCACTAACCGTTACACGTTTGCTTCTAGTGATTGTGGGTTTATGGTTCTAGCTTTGTTGGATTTAATCCAAGCTCCTTTTGAAGAATTTTGTTTCTTCAGTATTTTGTAAGGAGTTGCTAATTGTTCATCTGTCATGCAGTGCGTTGCCTGTGAATGTGACCTTGGGGGATCCCGCTCTGGAGCTGAAGTCAGGATCCGAAACAACAAACTCTTCTGCAACGACTGCTATCTCAGATTTAAAAGTAAGGCAGCTTGACTGCAGCGTGCGTGACTATGGTTGTTCTTGGTGCTGTGAAACTTCAAGTGTTTGTATAGCTGAACCAGTTGATAGCTTTTGTGTTTTACTTTACGTTGCTGTGTTAATGAATAGGTTCAGAAAGGTTTGATTGCCAGTTTCTGTCTTTTGTAGGGTAGTCATTATAAACTTCTAATGTCCTGGTAGCTGTTTTTACCACCTTGTTATTGAGCAGTTTCAAACACAACACAGTGTAGTCATCTTGCTTTCTTCGTAAATCTGAGAAAATGGTGTCAAGGAGTTGTAAGTTGCTGAGCAGTCTTCTCTTGATAGCATAGGAGTCGTCTTTTTGAAAAACTGTCTACATTGATTAAAAAAAAAAAAAAAAAAAGTAATTTGAATATGTATTTAGTTCAATCCTAGCACATAACTGGAAAGATATTAATTTATCCTATGCAGGTGGCACAAATGCTGCTTTCTTTTTGCGATGCTATTATTATTTGAATTATAGGTCTGTGATTGGTTATTCATTTAGGTACAAGTTCAGCAGGAATTGGTTTACTTACAGATCTTAATTAAAAGGTGCAGTATATATTTTTTCCTTTATTATAGTTTGCAGAATTCTGATTTACTGAAGCATGATGTTAAGGCTTTGAATAATAATGGTGGTGTTTTTTTTCTGCTGTCATATATGATGGTAGACAACCTCCTAGTTTTGAGAAGCCTCTGGATTTTTATATAACTCTACTTTTAGAGTTATATACTCTATATATACTTAGAAAATAAGGAATTCTTTAAAGTGATTAAATTCAGCTTATGGAAAGGGCTTCTGAATGACTTCCTGGGAAACATGTGCATGTTTCTACATGAGCTGGCACATTTTTCTCACTGTGGTCCAGAAGGCAGTGGAGGGAGCAGATACTCATGCTACAACACATGAGCAGGACTTGGGCATCTGCTGGCAGAGAACCCAGCTCAGAAAAAGAAAAATGTTGCATCTGATGCTTTTGCTGTTTTCAGGCTCTTTCTGGCTTGCAGGAGAAGGAAAATTTGCCTGCACCACAGAAATAATTGTATGGTGCCAAAAAGAAAAAACCTCACTACTTGATGCTACTAATGCATTCACAGAGGCTAACGTTAGGTGCAGGGAAACCTCTGTGATCAGTGGAAAGAAGAAGAAAGTCACTACCTTCCCTCTGAAGGTGATCCACAGCACTGGTCAGATCTCTCCAAATTGCTGTTCAGAGAAAGTCTTTTTGTTGAGAACAAAACCATGCCAAAGTGACCATGTTCCTCTCTAAGGCACCCAAATGTGTGAGCAATTCAGTCTGGAGCCTGCTCATGTCATTTTAGCTTTCCCTATCTTTTCTTTTGTATGCAAAACTGCTGGATGAGTTTGATAAGTTTGAAACTGAAAGGAGTCTTTTTATTTATTTATTTATTTATCCCTGATATGGTAGTATTTTGTGATGGCAGTAACCAAAAATTTTATCCCAGATCAAGTGCAATTTAGTCTCTCTCTGACATTATAGCTTATAAACTCATGATGTTGAGTAGCCTTTCAGGAGCAAAGTTAATCTGTGAGAAGTGGTTGTATACCCTTCCCGTCAGACTGCATCTTCCTGGGTGAGTGGGCACCTCAAAACATAAGTTAGCCAATGGGAAGTTGGTAGAGAATGAAAGAGCAAAATTAGTGATTTGAACAGTACAAAAGCCAGCTGAGCTGTGTGACTATTGCCATGAGAATATGTACTGGCAATGAAGCACTGGTGTGTGATGCAGATAACTTTGCAGTTAGTACTTCATGACACCTTTTCTGATGATTCATTATTTTGAAACATGAATGTACTGGCTAAAAGGTTTGAAAAATTGTAGGATTAGTAATATTTGCAATGTAATTTTATGGTTTGTTTGCACAATTTTATGTTGATTTTATGTCTTTATCTTGTAAAATTGCAGTGAAACACTGATGTGTTGGCAGATGCCCTTAAATATGTTCAGAGAGACTGGATAAGAAACTTTTAAAAACATACATATTGCTATAGTTATTTAGGAAATCTTAATTGAATTGTTGAAAGGTAGATTTAGGAAAAAAAAAAGTGAACTTGTCTTTGTGTTAATACTAAAAACAATTCCTTAAAACCTGGTTAAGGTGCATGTTCTGTGGAAAGTTATTTGGCCTTAAATATTTGCAGTGCTATAGTTGGATTAAGTTCAAATTTGTATTCTTTATGACATTTGGCTTGCTAGACTCAGAATGTACGCCTTACTACGTGTTACCGCTTTTAATAGATATGGTAATACCATTATCTGACAACTTTTATGTGGAAACATGAATTTTTGTCACTATGATTCTTCAGTAGCTAGAATTTAATTACAGTTTTTTCTGTTTCTCTCTTAACAGCTGGACAACCAACCTCCATGTGAAGCAAACCTAGATATGAAACCACTGTTGCAGATAGAAGAAGAGGTGATTGCTGCTGATGTAGATCTATAAATATATATATTGTGTGTGTGTTTTTTTCTAAAAGTAACTCTTTTGCTTGTCTAGTCTTCATAGCAATGCATTACATTCTTCATATAACTGTATTTTTATTTATGATAAAGTAATTGCAGTAAGGAAGTATCTGGGGAAAATGCTTTCACTTTTTCAGCTTCAAGTACTGAAAGCACAAGGGAGAATAAGTATATTTTCGGTAATAACTTCAAAATATTTTTGAGGCTTATAATCAACTAGTTGACTTTCCAATGGTATATGAAGAGGGTATTTTGTTTCTAAGCTCTTGAAATGAGCATTAGAGAAATACTTAATATAAATATATATTTGCAATTGCTGTCTTTATTTTTGACATATACTGAAAGTGAATTCTCTAGGTTAATATGAAGCTGCATTTAAATGCACACAAATGTGTTTGCTTTCCATATGCTGGTTTCTAAAATTGTGCTTTTTTGAAACTTAAATACAAAGAATTACCTGTTTGCTCAGTGGTGAAGGCATAATATTCCATGGAATCCATTTAAGGGGAAAGAATTTTCTTTTCCCTTTTGAAAAATGTAACTATCACTTTTTCCCTCCACAAACTAGGTGGAGAATGATTGTTAAATTACAGTATATTTGTAAATAAAATTTCTGATGTTGCATTTATTAGAAGCTTATTTTCTTTCTTTCTAGCAAAATGTATTGGTAACGTGTTAAGCTGAATTCGTTTAAATATTGTCCTGGGACATCATTTTAAATGCCATTTAGGCTTAAAATGCCACCCTAAATATGTGTAAGAACAATAGTTTATTGCTCTCTTCACTCCTGGTAGTAGACTTCTAATTTTATACGTACTTCTGCTCTCAAACTTCTTGTGCTCTTTCTCTTCAGCTTTTAATGTTAGTGGTGACACTGGTTCTTTGTCCTGTGTCCCTAAAATAGGATAATCAGAAGAGGTGGAAGTTACCTGGGGTTTCTAGCTGTGATTAGAAATGAGGCGCTGAAAATATTCTGGATTTGATTCTGCAGCTTCTGAAAATACACCTCAGAAGAGCCCTAGGGGGTTTTCATCAGTAGCTCCCAGATTGTATTCATCAGTTTCCTTTCCAAATGCTTGTATAGAATCATACAATGGTATGGTTTGGAAAGGACCCTTAAGATCACCTATTTTCAATGCCCTGATATAGGCAGGAACACCTCCTTGGAGAGGGCAACCACAGCCTCGCTGGGCAACCTGTTCCAGTGTCTCACCATCCTCACAGTAAAGAATTTTTTCCTAATATCTAGTCTAACCTCTTTGAGTTTAAGACCATTTCCCCTTGTCCCATCATGGACATGCCATCTCTCCCCAGTTTTCCTGTAGGCCCCTTCATGTACTGGAAGGCTGCCGTAAGGTCTTCTTGCAGCCTTCTCCAGGCTGAAGAGCCCCAGCTCTCTCAGCCTGTCCTTGTAGCGGTGGTGCTCTGGCCCTCTGATCATCTTTGTGGCCCTCCTCTGGACCTGCTCCAACAACTCCATGACTTTCTTGTATTGGGGGCTTCATACACTATTCATACACAATTTTATAGCATTCTGTATCTGTCATTGTAAGCTGCAAAGAAGACATGAAAAGTGGATCAGACGAATTTGAGAGCGTTTTTTTGGAGGAAACCAACAAAGAGGATGGCTGAGATGTGTGCGAGGAGCACCACAAATTGTTGCAAGGAATGGCACCAAAGCAGTTTGTAGCCCCTTCATCTCAGGGGCTTACTGAGAACTAGCAGATTTGGGGAAAGAGATTAGGGCTGTAGTTGAGGGCACCAAGGCAGTATCATGTCATTTTATTATAGTGGGAGTACTTCATTTGTGTGGGCTTCCTATAACTCCTCCCACTTTTAACTCCACCTGTCTCTTGGTTTGCTTCAAGTTTTGATCTGAACAGATGTGTTCTTTTATCAAGGAATTAGCTGCAAATAAATGCTAAAGCACAAAGTGCTGAACAGTATTTACGTATACTTTTTATAAAAAAAAGAAGTCTAAAATGTCTCAATAGCCCAAATTTGCTCAACTCCTTGTTCAACCTCCTCTGTGATTTGGCCTTGGTTTTTGGTGTTCAGTGCTCAGATGAAGTGCATCGGAAAAGATACTTTGTTTGATTTCTACTACTGTGGTAAGTAATGCTAGATCATGTGAGAATGTGGTGATATGAAGATCCTAGATTTGGAATACACATACTTGACGGATATTCACACAACTTGCTCACACAGCTGCCTGGAATCTTGGGTCCTCTTTGCTGCTTCTGGAAGAAGACTGGTTCCCTGACAGCCACCTAAAGTAGGAACCAATATTGGATGTTGACTCATTTAGGATCTTAGGTCACGTACAATTACATCCCCAACAGAGATGGTGCAGATGCCCTTTTACACAGTCCGGGCAGCCTGGGGCTGTGAATAACTACATCCAGCCCTGCTAGTAAATTTAGGATCTTTGCAAAAGAAAGATAGTTACTTCATTATCTTGTTCCAACTTGTTTACCTGTGACCTAAGAGCAAGTGGAATGTCAGTTTTAGTGAGGTTCAGAGAGCTAAAGTTGAAACTCCCAATTTGAAGCTTTTTCTCATTTAAAAGGCCTGGTTAGCAGAGACCCCTTAAATTTGTATTTTCTAAATTGGGTTAGTAAATGCAAGCAAAGAAAACTCATATGGAGTGGAGGAGACCTAAAAACTCACGTTATGAATGTTATATTTGTGTCTTTTGATACTCGCTATACTTCTTGAAGTGTTGATCAGAAGTTCAGCAAAACCAGTTATGCACTAACAACACAAGGTGGCAGTGTGTAAATGCAGCTCGCACAACAGAGAGTCCTGTCTGTGGTTTTAATCTTGCCGATGCGCCTCTTTCTGAAATGATGTACCTGAAATTATCTCTGCGTTACAGTTTGACATATGGAGAAGTGCTTAGTCAACAAGAGGTCGTCAAGAAGACCAAGGAAGCCGAGGTATCATAACCTGAGTGAGAGCACATCAAGGCTATTGATCGTAGAATCATAGAATGGCCAGGGTTGGAAGGGACCTCAAGGATCATGAATCTCCAACCCCCCTGCCACATGCAGGGCCAACAGCCTCCCCGTTTAATGCTAGACCAGGCTGCCCAGGGCCCCATCCAATCTGGCCTTGAACACCTCTAGGGACGGGACATACACAACCTCTCTGGAATTTCCCCCTGACATCCAACCTCAATCTCCCCTCCCTCAACTTAAAACCATTTCCCCTTGTCCTGCAGTTATCTACCCTTTCAAAGAGCTGATTTCACTCCTGTTTGTAGGCTCCCTTTAGGTATTGAAAGGCTGCAGTGAGGTCACCCTGCAGCCTTCTTTTCTCCAGGCAGAACAAGCCCAGCTTCCTCAGCCTGTCTTCATAGGGGAGGTGCTCCAGTCCCCTGATCATCTTCGTGGCCCTCCTCTGGACCCTCTCCAACAGCTCCCTGTCTTTCTTGTACTGGGGGCTCCAGACCTGGACGCAGTATTCCAGATGGGGCCTCACAAGAGCAGAGTAGAGGGGAACAATCACCTCCCTGTCCCTACTGGCCACCCATCTTCTGATGGAGCCCATGATACCATTTGGCTTCTGAGCCACAAGAGCACACTGCTGGATCATATTAAGTTTTTCATCTATCAAGACCTCCAGGTCTTTCTCCTCCACAGGGCTGCTCTCAAGGACCGCTCCTTCCAATCTGTGTGGACGCCTGGAATTTCTGCAGCCTAAGTGCAAAACTCTGCACTTTGCCATGTTGAACCTCATCAGGTTGACCCGGGCCTTTCTAGCCTCTCGAGGTCCCTCTGAATGGCATCCCTTCCTCTTCCATTGTGCCAACTACACCACTCAGCTTGGTGTCATCAGAAAACTTGCTGAGGGTGCACTCGATTCCATCATTTATGTCATTGATAAAGATGTTAAAGAGCACCAGTCCCAAGACAGACCCCTGGGGGACGCCACTCATTACCAGCCTCCACCTGGACATAGAGCTACTGATGACCACCCTCTGTCTGCGGCCTTTTAACCAATTTCTTATCCATTGAGTGGTCCACCCATCAAATCCACCTCCCTCCAATTTGGAATAAGGATGTGGTGGGGGACCATGTCAAAGGCCTTGCTCAAGTCCAGGTAAATGACATTGGTTGCCTTTCCCTCATGTCGTCCACTAATGCTGTTACTCCATCATAGAAGGCCACCAGATTGGTCAAGCATGACCTTCCTCTGGTGAAGCTGTGCTGGCTGTCTCAGATCACATGCTCATTCTTCATGTGATCAAGCATGTCATGCAGGATGATCTGTTCCATGATCTTGCCAGGTACGGAGGTGAGACTCACCGGCCTATAGTTCCCGGGGTCCTCCTTGCTCCCTTTCTTGTAAATGGGAGTGACGTGACCCTTCCTCCAGTCATCCAGGACCTCACCTGACAGCCACAACTTTTCAAATATGATGGTGAGTAGCTCGGCAACCACCTCAGCCAGCTCCTTCAGAACCCTGGGATGCATGCCCATAGACTTGTACACATTCAGTTTCATGAGGTGGTCTCAGACTTGCTCTGTCCTCACAGCAGGGGGGGATTTACCACCCCAGTCCCACCTAGAGGTTTAGGGATGCAGGGCTCAGGGATGTGAGAAATACTGGAATCCTGGCTGCCAGTGAAGACCGAGGCAAAGAACTCATTCAGTACCTCAGCCTTCTATTCATCTGTTGAAGCCAGTTCTTCTTTTACGTTTACCAGAGGAGGTACACTCGCTTTGATCTGTCTTTTCTGGCCAATGTACCTGTAGAATGTCTTCCTAGTGTTTTTCATTGTTTTTTGCCTTGTTTTTTCTGATCCCACGTCTGCAAGTCTAGAAAGCATCCCTGTATTCTTCCCAGGTGACACGCCCTTGTTTCCAGAGCTTGTACGCACCTTTCTTTGCCCTCAGCATGCTCAGCAGGCCCTTGCCGAGCCATGCTGGTTTCCTACCTCCTCTGCCCGCTTTCTTATTCAGAGGGACGGAGATATCTTGTGCTCTAAGGAAGGCATCCTTGAAGAGTAGCCAGCTCTCCTCAACATGTTTGTTTTTAAAGACAGCATTCTAGGGGATCTCAGCCAGCAGTCTATTGAACAGCTTCAAGTTCACTCTTCCAAAGTTCAGGGTCCTGACGCCACTCTTCACCAGGCCCACATCCCTCGAGATCATGAACTCAATCAGGGTGTGGTCACTGCAACCCAGGCTGCCTCCACCCTTAACACCATTAATGATTTCCTCCGCATTGGTGAGCAGCAGGTCCAGCAGCGCTTCACCTCTGGTCAGTCTGTTCAACACCTGGACCAGAAAGTTATCATCAACACATTCCAGGAGCTTCCTAGACCTCTTGCAGCTCGCCATGTGGTCTTTCCTTGAGATATCCAGATGGCTGAGGACAAGAGCCCATGAGCACGAAGCTTCTCTCATCTGAAGCAAGAAAGCCTCATCAACAGTCTCCCCTTGATCAGGTGGTCTGTAGTATACTCCTATCACCAGCTGGCCTTTGTTAGACCTGTCCCTAATTCTAAACCACAGGCTCTCAACCTGATCCTGACTGTTTCTCAGAAGGAGCTCCTTACAGTCTATCCACTCTTTGACATAGAGGGCAACTCCCCCACCCTTCCTATCTC